AAACTCATTAGTCAACAGAGCCAAATATCAACGGTACAACGGTTGAAATTTCTTTGGAGAGCCAAAATTTTTAAAAATTAGACTATATAGGTAGGTACATTGTCATTAACTTAATGAGGGTACTCCTACGCTGGCCTTTGCTAAAAACTCAAGGGGCCAAAGAGCCACAAGTGGCTCGTGAGCCGTGATTTGCCCACCACTGGCCTAAGGACACTAAAGTGTGTCATAAAAATCATGTGCCTACCAAATGGGTACCCAGTAGGTGGCAGGTGACACACACATGTTTGTAGAATGCATGAATGTCAAGTTTTGCCAGTTTTTAAAGAGCCATCCCCTCTATCAGGAAGGCAGACAGACAGGAATGCTTTGCCTGCTCTGTTTTATTCAGGGGATAATGTATACGGGACAATTTCTTGACTTTCCTGCCTGTGTCCTGCTGACCAAAATGTGACAACTTTGCTCAACGTTAGCACCAAATCAAATCGTGAACCACAAATCACACCCCTTCCCTGGCAAATGGTTGACAAGAGCAGTGGCAGGCGTTGGGCTCAGGGGAATGTGTCGGATTGCCTGTAGGTTTTTGCCATGCGCTCAGCTCACCTGCCCTTATTAGCAGGCGTAATTCATAGCTGGCTGGCTGGGTGTCCTCTCCTGCTCATCTTTCCAGTGAATGCAGGCAGGGCTAGTCCTGCCAGGCAGGTTTCCAGCCCGGATGCCGGATAACGTTCCAGGGAACGGCCAGTGGAAGAACAACCGCGCACAGTAACATGACATCTTTTCCCTCTGCCGCTTCCTACCCTGACAGCTCACCTTGGGACGCCGCACCTGCTGTTCCACCGCTATAATGTGATATCAGCGGATGCCATGGACAGAATCCAGCTTAGGTTCAAAAATATGTCTCTAGTAGCTTTCATTTCCATTTTTCAATTTGCCTGGTTATCTTTTAATTCCCTTTTCCCCCTCCACATTTGCATCTAGGTTTCTGTTTATTTGTTCCATTTTCTTCTGAGATGTTGAGGCAGGGGATTTATTCTCTTAAAAAAATATATATATATATATATATACACACACACACACACACACACACACACCCATATGACTTTTTACAGAGAGGAAGAGAGAGGGATAGAGAGTTAGAAACATCTACCAGCTGCCTCCTGCACACTTCCCACTGGGGATGTGCCCACAACCAAGGTACATGCCCTTGACTGGAATCGAACCTGGAACTCTTCAGTCCGCAGGCCGATGCGCTGTCCACTGAGCCAAACTGGTCAGGGCGGGGGTTTGTTCTCTTAACAACCAGGGAAGCTATTTGGGAAGTGATTGGTTTTGATAATTTACTTGCTGTGCCCCTCAAAGAATAGCCCACAAACAGAAGACTTACAAACATATTAGTGAGCAGCGTTTGGCCCTGGTCACAAGCTACACTCGTGTATTAGGCATAGTCCACCCAATCTTGCCGAATTCTAGTCCTCGTCTGTTGAAAAATCCAATGAAGGAAACACACACAGAGCCCACTAAATCTGTGTCTACCCCCCCTCCCCCCCTAGATTTCATGTATTAAAATCCTAATCTCCGAGGCGGTGGCATATGGCAGTGGGACCTTTGGGAAGCTCATATATCTTGAAGACGGTTGAAAAAAACAAAATTCAACTGAGTAAATGTTACAGATCTTATTGGCCTTATGCAGCGATTCATGAGTTGGACAGCCTGCCATCCCGCAGATAGAAAGGAGCTCCCGGGAACAGGGCGAAACAGCAGGTCTTTACAGGCAGGAAGGGGGAAGGAGTGGACTGCTTCAGGCCGTGTCCCCTTGCTTTCGTGGACGAAAGGGGTCTGACCAGCGCTGGCCAGGATGTTCCAGCCTCCATTTAAGATTATGTTCCTGGGATAGGCCGATGCTGTGGTTAGGTTAGGTGTCGAGTCTCGGTTTGGCGACACAGGGTTTAGCACAAGTGACTCCATTTGGGGGCTGTTGTCTCTATGTTCACAGAGCTCGGCCCTCGTGGATGGGACTGACTAGTGCATTTACCAAAGGGGCCCAGGCAGTTCCCTCTCCCCTTTGCTGTGTGAGGACACAGAGAAAAGACAGTCATTCATGACCCAGGAAGAGGGCTCTCATCAGACACAGAATCTTCCAGGGCCTTGATCTTGGACTTCCCAGATTCCGGAACGGTGAGAAATAAGTTATTTATACGCTACTCAGCCTCCTTTGTCATTTCCAACATTAGACTTGTTCCTAACAGTAGGGAACATCGCGTCCTTGATCTCCATTCCACTCATCGCAGGCAATTTTTTTTGTGTGTGTGTGTGTGTGTATCCAGCTCTTGTATGAGTGCTGTTACTATTAGTGAACCTTCCTATAATGAGATTATCCATCCTCTTGGCCACACCGGCTAATGTATGTGAGCATAAGATTTGAATATTGTTATCATATGCCTGATATGTTTAATTGGCAAAGCGGTACCACGCCCTTATGTTATATATACTCTCAACGTTGCATGATTGTTTATATAAAGAACAAGTCCCTGAGGGTCTTCTAAATGTAAAGGGCCTTGGGATATGTCTCCAGGGGACACGGACAACATATTCCTTCAACAGATGCATCTTCTTATTCCATGTTATCAGTCTTTGCCTCTGGCTCGGTGGGATGGCCCCAACAAACAGCAATAACGGTGAGACCCAGGGGATGGCTGCATTTTCCCCTTTTATTAGATTTCTACATTATTTGAGGTACTCTCCTGGGAGAAATTAGGGGGTGTGGTCTTGCTGGAAGGCTCAAGAGCAGATAAGGTCTCATTGGGGAGTAGAGGTGACATTTTATGGCTCTGCATTTCTCTCACATTGCTCATTTTTTGGAGTCTCCTTTAGCAAGTCTCTCCTTACGAAATTCTCCAACCCACAAAGGATACTTCTTCAAAATATGGTCATCGTTCGTTTTCCCAAAAACCAGCCTGGACTCACATGGATTCAGAGGGGCTAGCTCCATTTCTATGGAATCAGAAGCAGCCAGTGTGACAACTTCCAGTGCCCTGATCTTTTCCTTCTTTTCTTTCTTCTTTGCTCACTCTTCAATTTCTCCATGTGACCCTCCTGGCTGGCCATGCCTTAAACTTTCCCATGGGAAGCTTGGTGGTTGGCACTCAAAAGCAAAGAGCTGGGTGTCTCCAACTTCAGGTTGTAACTCTCCAGTTCTCAAAATTTCTTTCTTCGAGATTTATTACAGTGGCACATTACTAAGACATTGTAATTCTCAGAGTATAACTCCATTTTATTCTAATACTAAGTTCAAAAATTACCATAGCCTTGTATCTACCGTGTTTCCCCGAAAATAAGACATCCTCCGAAAATAAGACCTACCGCATGGAAAAATAAGACATCCCCTGAAAATAAGATCTAGTGCATCTTTGGGAGCAAAAATTAATATAAGACACTGTCTTATTTTCAGGGAAACAGGGTATATATATCTATATGAGAGGCCTGGTGCACAAAATTCATGCACGGCTGGGGATCAGAGTCGACCTGTGGGGTGACTGGTGGGTGGACCTGGCATCAGCCACTAGCCAGCTCCACCCCCTGCCACCGCTGCTGGTAACTTCCTTCTGTGGGGCAACCAGCGGGGCAATCAGGGGTTCCTCCCCTGGCACTCACCTTGGCTGGCCTGGGGCCTGCAGGCAGCTCCTGCATTGAGTGTCTACCCTCTGGTGGTCAGTGCGCATCATAGCAACTGGTCAGTCTATGGATAGTCCTGCCCTTTGGTTGATTTGCATATTAAGTTTTTATTATATAGGGTCTATGTATCTTAAAGGATCACAACTCTTATGCAGTACAGATTGAGTTTTAGAACAAAGTTAATTCAATAAATATTTATTGTGTGTCTTAAGAACCAGGAACGAGAAACACAGTGGTGGACAAGATGGCTAGAAGCAGTATGTCTCCATTACTCATGACTCCATAAGTCAGAGAGAAAAGTAGTTAGAACTGGAAGGGGCTATGCATTTGCCATGTTCTGTAATACACCCCAGACATGGAATTGGGGGGGGGGATTAAAACAAAATATTTCAGATCTATTGCTTTCATTCGGGGAAATACATGCTCATTATGTTCTTCAAACCAGAAATCACTATATCCCTCCTGTCTTTGAAGTTCTCTTAAATCTGTTACTATTCAGGGTCTCCATCCAATTTTTCACCGAATTACCCTATTTGTAGCTTCCAAATATCAAGACCTTTGCGCTGAAGTGAAGTCTATAAAACGCCTCAGGGGCTTACACTGTGTGTGAGGCAGAAATGGTATGTAAGCTCTTAGTGAAATGATGAGCTTTGAAAGTGTCGCATTTGGGGTTTATAGGAGTCTTCCTCTACTTCTCTTTTTTTATTGGGAAGGGGGGCGATGGAAGACCGTGGGGTGGGGAAATTCTCTTCATACTCGTTATACCTGCTTTGTCTTCTCTTTTAAAAACACAATTTTTACGACTTGGGAGATGTACGAACACTCCCCAGGGCTCGCAGGCATCTGCAAACTTTGTGTGTGTGTTCCCGACTCTCAGAGCAGTTCTTTTCCACGGGTCTCATGCTCGCAGGCTACATAAGGTCTCTCCTGGCCTCATTCATCTTCCTTCAGAAAAAAAAAAAAGAAAGAAAGAAAGAAAGTGAAGCGAAACCGACATAGGGGGGAAGCACAGAGCGAAAAAGCGAAAAAGCGTAGAGAGGGACAGAGGAGCATTGGGATAGAGAAGAGGGAAAGGGAGGAGATCAGGAAGGAGCCGCTGGAGTCCAGACTGCGGATGAGGAGCCGACCTGGAGAGCCGCCCACTGGTCCCCGGGCTGCCAATCGGGGCGTAATCCCCTCGGAATCTCTCCAGGTTTAGCTGGGAGCCACAGTGCCGCCTCCTCGCTCCCAGAGGCCCGGGGAGCCCGGAGCAGCCAGCTCGGGGAGGAGGAGGGAGGGAGGGAAGAAGGGAGGGAGGGAGCTGAGGCCTGGAGGAGGAGGAGGACCCCGGAGGGAGGGAGGCGGCGCGGGGAGGAGGGGCGCCGCCGCCGAGCCACTCTCCGCGCTCCGCCGCGCTCCCCGCCAGACACTCGGGGAGCTCCAGCCGCGCGGAGCGCACCCCGCCGGGCTGCTCCCCAAACTTCAGCCGCAGCCAGCCGCATCCCAAGCCTTCCCGGCTGATTCCCCCCGAAAAGAAGCCGAGCCGCGAGGCTGAGCAGCAGCCCGCGGGGGAGCAAGAGAACCGCAGAGCGAGCGGAGCCCCGGGAGCAGCCTCCCCAGCGCAGCGGCTCCGGGGCGCCGGGAGGGAGCGCAGAGCCAACAAGTGAGAAGGCGGCGCGGCCCCGGGCGAGCGGAGGACCCGGGAGCCAACCCGGGGGAGGCGGAGAGCGCCCCGAGCCGGAGCCGGAGCCGGAGCCGGAGCTCCCAGCCTGAGCCCGACCCCCCAGCTGCAGCTGCTTCGCTCGGATCCCTGGTCGCGGCTGCGCCCGGTGCCGGGCAGGAGGCTTCGCGGCGCTCGGGCGGCCAGCGGCGGCTCCGGCCGGTCCTCGGGGAACATGGGGCGCGCCTGGATCCTGCTCACCCTGGGCTTGGTGGCCTGCGTGGCGGCGGAGTCGGTGAGTGAGCCGGCGGGGTCGCGCGCGCGGGCGCACCGCTTCGGGTGCTCCAGCCGGGAGGAGTCCGCAGCGCCCGCGGGGGCCGGGGAGCACCCCCTGAGGGTTCTCACGCCCACACCCCCAGACTGGGCGCTCGGGAAACCCCCTTCCCGGGCGGGGAGGGGGGCTGCTGGAATGGACGCGCTCGCCCCCACCCCTCTCCTTCCCTGCCCGCAGCGGCGCCGCGCGCCGGAGTTGCCCCCGGGGACGAGGGCGCGAGAACCGCCGTTTTTGGTCCAACCGCAGAGGCCCCCGGGGTCACCACCAACTGCTTCGCCTGCAGAGGGTCTTGCTCGGACCTCCCCACTCCCCGGGAAGGACCTGGGGGAAGGGTGGGAGCGGGAACCCATAGGAGGCTTGCCGGGGAACCGGCCCCCTCCTCGCGCTCCTCGCCGCCGAGGGGCCCCCGGGAAACTTGGAGGTCCCCCCTCCTGCACCCCCGCTTTCCCCGCTCGGATGCATCCCAGTTCGGAGGGGAGAGGGCCCCGGCGTGAGCCAGCCGCGTGTGTCGGGAGAGGAAAGTTTGCAAAAGTTCTTTTGTTTGATCTCCTCCGTGGCAGGGGCGAGTGTGTGGGGGGGGGGCGCGCAGACGGGACGTGGAGATGCTGCTGCCCGCGGGGCGCAGCCTGCGTGCCTGCGGGGGTTCGCCAAACGGCGGGGAAGTAAATGCTGCGATCCCGCCCTGCAGAGACCCCCTCCCTCCTCCTCCATGGAGAACCGAGGCGGCCGCTGGCTCCCGGGGACCGGAGGACATGTTCATGCTGAGGGCGGTGCAGGGCGAGGTGGATGCGGGGACACCGCGCGGCCTCGGCTGGCTCTCCAGGCGGCCCGGGGCCCAGGCTCGCAGCCCGCCCGCCGCGCTCCCATCGCGGGCCCTGGCGGGGTGCACCCGAGGCCGGGACGCCTCTCCTGCAGCCCGAGCGGGCAGTGGGCACTCGGTGTCCGGCTGTGGGCGCTCGGTTTCTCCTCTGGGTGCGTGTCCGTGGCTGGAGCTTGTTTCCCTGCGTCGCCCCGCGAGCGCCCTCTACCGGGGACTGTGTCCTGGGCTTTCCCTGGTGCCTGGCGGCCCCCACCTCCCTGGGCGCAGGGAGCTTTGTGGGGCGAAGCCCTAGCACCCCATTGCATTTCTGGGGTCTCGGTTAAGCAGGACAGCCCTTTCTGTTCCTTCTGGTTCCCCAGGTCCCCTCCCTTGGCCAGCGGGTACCGTGCCCATTTCTAATGAACGGAGGTGTCTCTCCTAGTAAGAAATGCCATCTTTAGCGGTGGGTGCTGTTTTCCCCTTTCTCCCCTTTTTTTTGAGCTGAGGCAGTGGAGGGTTGGGAAACCTCCTTGGCACTGAGCAGCCAGCCGATGGGCATTTTTCTCCTGGGCGGGAGCCTCGGTGCGGGCCAGCGGGTCCCCGCAGGTCCCGGGAGGCCGGAGGGCAGGCAGGTGGACTCAGGCGCTGCACAGAGTGGTTGAGTATTGAACGGAGCGCAGAACCCAAATACTATACCCGAGCCGCTTCCGAGTATTTTCCCTTTGGCACATGAGCTTGAATCCATGGGGGCTGGTGAACTTTGGCTTGTTGTGCACACACACACAGGAAAGGGGGAGAGATTCTCTATTTGTTTCAGAAAAACACTGCTGCTCATCTTGTTGCAAAATAGGGCAAAGGGAGAGAGCTCTGTTGAAAGGTTTTCAGGAGAAGCCTGCCTCGGAGCCCTACAAGGTTGAGGAGATCCTTTTTTATTATTTTTTATTTTTTTTATTATTATTTTTACTGGGTTTACAAGGGATGTTACTGTTTGGGGATTCTAGGAAAAGAGTGTCTATCTGCTGCCTCTCGGAGTGTTAGCATCAACTGGCTGAGCGGCACCTGTGCTCCCTCCCCAGGGCCACCTCTCCCCCAGACTCAGTTTTGGGGGAGACTCATTTCCAGCCAGAACCCTGTGCTTTTCTGAGTGAGCTGCTGCGGCCGATCCTGCTTGCAGTCACCGGAGTGCCATCCAGAAGCGTGCTTAGATGTTTTGAAAATGTGAACTTGGAGGCCGTCGCCTAGCGTTCGTTAGTTAGGCAGTCCCCCATGGGGGCTGTTTCCACATGGGTCCGCTTCCATGACTTTTCAGTCCGTCTGCGTGTCCCGTCCATCCGCTGAGATGCACGCGGCGCTGAGAGATTTAATTTTTGAACGTTCAGCCATTCCGTTAGCACATCATTTCCAGCACTCCACGTTTCTCCCTGAACACTGCCGTTTCCTGGGAGTTAGGTGTCGTGATCGTCGGAGCTTAAAACCTCTCTTTAAAAGGAAAGAAAGGGAAAAAAAATGTCTGCAGTGAGTGAGTTCTTTAGTTTCAACGAAGCCCAAGGGTAAAAAAAAAAAAAAAAGGTTTTCAGGAGCCAAGGCTCAGAGCTGCCTGGGAAAAGGGACCGGTGGCCGGTGTGGAAGCTGGGGACAGCCTGGGGACAGCAGGGACCGCCGGTGGGTGCTGATGCTTGGTCCTTGCCCCCGGCAGGTTGGGACTCACTGCGGGCGCGAGGGGACAGGCCGGCTGAGTGTGGCAGTATAGTGATAGGTTGCTGTTTCTCTGTTCTTTGACTGTTTAGCTTTAGAAGGAATATATTGCAGACTGTTACAAATGCATAATTGGAACTGGAAATATGTTTTCAAAAAGGAAGTGTTTTGAACTCGGGGGGGGGGGGGCTTTTTTAGGTGTGTGTCAATGAAAAGAAACTGTCAAGTCATTCAGACCCGTGCGTTACCTCTCGGGGCGCGCTGTGAAAGGCAGGCTTTGGGAAGCTTGCAGGAAAAGGGGAAAATAAAGTGGGAACGATATAACCTTTTGCGGTGCTTTAAAAACATACGCGTTGGCTGTGGGAGTAATGAAACAGATTACTTTTGCCGCGGGATTGTACAGAGACCAGGGCCCCTTTCTCTGGGAGCTGGGCAGGAGCAGCAGGTAGAGGTCATTTAAGAAGGGAAGAGCTTGTAAGATCAGGCTTGCCAGAAGATGTGCCCTAAGACAGTGGTCAGCAAACTCATCAGTCCACAGAGCCAAATATCAACGGAGCCAAATGACAACGATTGAAATTACTTTTTTTAAAAAAAAATTTCTTTTGAAAGCCACATTTTTAAAACTTAAACTATACAGGTAGGCACATTGTTATGAACTTAATAAGCTGGCCTTTGCTAAAAACTCAAGGGGCCAAAGAGCCGCAGGTGGCTCGCGAGCCGCAGTCTGCCGACCACTGCCCCAGGAGGAATGTGAGTGTGCTCTCCAACCCTTACTTCTGGAACCTGGGACCCCTAGTTTTTTATTTTTTTTGTGTGTTGTTTTTTAATTGATATTTTACAGAGAGGAAGGGAGAGAGGGATAGAGAGTTAGAAACATTGATGAGAGAGAAACATCGACCAGCTGCCTCCTGCACCCCCCCCCCCCCCACACCCACACACACACTGGGGATGTGCCTGCAACCAATGTACATGCCCCTGACCGGAATCGAACCTGGGGCCCTTCGGTCCACAGACCGATGCTCTATCCACTGAGCCACACCGGTTTTGGCAGGGACCCCTAGTTTTGATGGGGCTCACCTTTAGAAGGACTGTGTTAACATGATCACTCGAATGGTGCCTTGAATAATCAATAGTTTGGAAAGGATTTCAGAGAATCATCTAGATTTTTTCCCCCCCCCAAGTTTGGACTAGTTCTCATGTCTTCAGAATCCCCCAGAGACCTGACTGGCCAGTTCTTAGGTGGCCTGCGACTTCCTGAGGTTGGCAAGGCCCCTGAGGCTGACCCGGCCACATAGAGCTGAGCCCCCTTTGTCAGGAAGGCTTGTGTGGAGACTGGTCAAGCCATTGGGCTGTGGGCATGCCCGCTGGCAATGATCCAATGGGTCCTGCGAGGAAGGTCAGCTGCGTGTAGATCCTCACGAGAGTGGCCCTCCTCCGTTTCCTGAAGTCAGACGGAAAGATCTCACCCATCGTCGTCTTCCTCACCATTCATGCCCCTGGCCCACTGTCCCTTATAAACGCCTCGAAATCACCGGGTTCTTTCCTGGACCGGAAGCCAACATAAAGGTTACCAAATAAAAGCAGGAAATCATGAAGAAGAGCCTTTGCTGAAGACAAGAGTCTCTTGTCCTCGGTGCCTGAGCCGTCTCTTTCATTGTAGTCCTTTGGACTTGAATCTTGAAGGCGCCCTGGACTCCCTTATCTCTGTTGACTTACACGGCCGGCTGGCCTCCGCGTCCATCCACCTGCCTGTTGTTTGTCCCGCAGACATTTGTCCAGCCCCCATGGGGCGCTCCGGAGAAAGCAGTAAGCAACCCGGGCGAGCCCCGCTGTCTTTGAGGGGGAGCTCTCCTTTTAGGGCTCCGGATAGTTTTCCCTTCCCGTGTTTCCTCCCGAGGGGCCTTGCCAGCTCCTCCTGCCTTCATGTCCGCAGCCTTGGAGTTGTCCTTCCCGGCCCAGAGGCTCCTCGGCTGTTGGATGTATCCTGTGTATCACTCTGATCGTGTTACCCACGCTCCATGAACTCCGTGTGGACCCTTGAGACAGTGGTGTGGGGCCTGACGATCTCTGCCAGATTTAGAAGATACTCCATAACACGCTCCTTCCAACTTACACCCTCTGGATCCCTCTGGGTCATGTTTATGGGCCTTGGCCAGCCGACCAGCCTCCCTGTCGTCAATGTTCCTGGGACATGCCCTCTTCCCTGTTTCTCCTATTAAAAATAATAATAATAATAAAAAAATTATATATATATATATATATATATATATATATATATATATATAATTGATTTTTTACAGAGAGGAAGGGAGAAAGATAGAGAGCTAGAAACGTCGATGAGAGAGAAACATCGACCAGCTGCCTCCTGCTCATCTTCTACTGGGGATGTGCCCGCAGTCAATGTACATGCCCTTGACCAGAATAGAACTTGGGATCTTTCAGTCCGCAGGCTGACGCTCTATCCACT